CGACCAGAAACATGACAAACAAGTTTCCCTAATCCACATAGGACAATGCGAATAAGTAAACCAAAAATATACAAGAATCATCTAATAATGTTAATTAATAGAATAAATGTTGCAAATCTCAATAATAATTGTATTCTTAACTAATTCCTCTACGCTCTCATTAAGTCTATAAGTCTATCCTCTTTCAAAATAATAAATTGTCCCAGGGTTAAGAAATCCTTGGACACCGTGGATTATATCGTAGTTATGTCGTTGCGGAGTCTTAGAGGGGTTTATGAATATTAAATGCAATATTCTTAATTACTTTTATTGTCTATTATTATCTCAGGTATTATTAACTAAGAGTTACATTCTCCTCTTAAGTTAGTGTTTACGAAGTAAGTGCTCTTCCTTGGACTCTCCCAAGTAGGACCAACTTCTCAGTTCGACCCCTTAGCTAAGACTCCCTAAGACTCTTCGGTCCCCTGACTAAGACTAAATTATATAATACAAAAAATGTGTTCATTTCAAAAAGGGGCTTCGTGGAAGAAAAAGGTTTGACCTTGTGGAAAACACAAGCGTTTCTTTATCTAAGTTTTATGATTCTGCCCAATTATTTAAGGGCTGCAGAAGGCTGTTAAGTGGTGACGCAATAGACGCAAATATACGATTTAATGTGTAACCGTCGTTCGGAATATTCCACAAGTTATTCTAAATAATCACGTACAAGTATCCGTTTGTATATTTGATGGATACATTAAATATGATTTGTAATAATTAAGAGGAAAGTCATGGCCCTAACAAATATACATATTAGTTATACAATAGATGACAATAAATTGGTCGGCCACGACAAAATTGTAAAATCTACGAACTGTTTCATAAATAAACTTATAAATTTAATGATAAATTGAGGTAATCTAAATGAAAAGAAAAATGTTGACGAAACAAAATGAAAACATTTTTTAATTAGTTTCTAAATCAATTTTTTTTTCTTCAAAACATTACATGTTTGATTTTTATGTTAATAATTCAAGTTTTGCAAAACTTAATTGGTTGCTATGGAAACTTCAATTATTCCGCAGCTATTTGNGTATAAATTAGTCTCGATCTGTAGATTTCGGTACAGTTTCCCAGCATCCTGAACAACATGAAGATCATCATCTTTGCTTTTGCCTGCGTTTTGGCTTTGGCCGCTGCCGACAACTGCATCTGCACCAAAGAGTACGTGCCTGTGTGCGGAACAGACGGTAAAACTTACAGCAACAGATGCTTATTGAATTGTGCCCAAAGGACCGAACCAAACTTGCGCTTCAAACATGACGGTTTCTGCTCGACACCCGAGAAATTGGAACAGAGACAATTAGACTGTCCTTGCACCAGAGAATTCGATCCGGTTTGCGCTACAAACGGAGTCACCTACGCAAACCCTTGCCTCTTCAGATG